GGAAAAACCTAAATAAATATGAAGGCTCAAACACGACATTATATCGCTGTTCTTAAACGATATTTGCCTCCTCTCGTATATAATTTTGCTACTTAAAGAGTCTCGCGGCAAATGTTTTGTAGGATTAATCAAACTTTGTAGAGAATCAAAACACTTAAGCATTTGTGTGACTCTCCAAAATTTGAAGAACACTAGGGGAATTTGAATATGGATGAAGAAGACCTTGATTTCTTCTTGTGGAATGAAAGAATGTTCATCATATATTTATAATATAATTTCTATATTTTTCATTGATCATCCATGGCCTATTTATAGGCCTCAATCAATGTCACGAATTGGTGCCAAAAACATGTTGAAAGGTTGCAAGAAACCCTCCAAAAGCCGCAAAAAAAATTACTAGAAATGACCTCCAACGGTCACTTGTTACTACCATGCGACCACATGGAGTTCTTCAAACTGGCCTCTCCAGTTTCGGGTTGTGGCCATGCGATATGCGGTCACATGACATTCATCTTGAGCCTCCCGTTTTAGTTTTATGTTCCAATTTTGTTCATTCCTTTCCATACACGTGTTTATTGATTTTGCGGTCGCATGGCATTCATCTTGGGCCTCTGGTTTTAGTTTTATGTTCTAATTTTGTTCATTCCATTCCACACACGTGTTTATTGATTTTGAACAATAAATTTTCATCAGTTGTGGTCTAGGTTATGATTACGTGTCATCTAAGTAATTATTGCTTATTTCTGGTTGGTGGGGGAGGGGGGATGAGGTGATGATGTCAAAAATACCACTTGTCACGTTGGGAGTGACCGTCTAAGTGATGATCACATCATTTGGGAGATGTGTTCGCGATTTCAAAGATGATGTTACTAGATGATGATGATAATGAGCCAAGATTCTTCGACGATTTTCTTAATCTATTCTCTTTGAGATAGTTAACATCTTTTATAAAGCTCTCCTTAAATTATAGTTTATTCTAGATGATTGCGAGTTCAAATACCAATAATGACAAATGGCTGATTGGTGATGGGAATTTGGTTTAGTTGGATGGTGGGGACGGTGTGGAGTTGGGTGGGTTTGGGGGCAAGATTGACATTTTCATTTGTTTAATTATTCTTTTACTTTAACTGTTTTTTTTTCTTTCATTACTTATATAAGTGGGCGGTGGTGGTGGCACTGGGTTGAAGAAACTATTTCCTTTTTATTTTTTAAATTCTTTTATTTTTCTATTGTTGTCACTCTATTTTTAATTGCTTATAGTGAAATTTATTTGCATTTTTGAAAATGTTTTGGACATACGTTGCAATTTTTCGTTTACATTTTCATTTTGCCTCTTTTTGTTTGTTCATCTAAATGGGAGGACAATCTTAAATGTCAAATTGGATGGATTCTGTCAAAATAGATGAGTCATGCATTTTTTTCCAAATGTTGGGATGTGAGGTGCTATTTTTAAAGGTTAATATATCTATACGTTTTTGAAAGATTGGGGGGCCACATATGTTATCTTCCCTTTTAAATAACAACTGGATTTAGTAAACTTTACCTTTTAAATAACAAATTATAGTTTTAATATATTTTGGCACTATCTCTTCACAATCTTAGTTGTTGTATGTGAAAATATTAGTGGTTTACAAAGAGATTAAAAGGGGCTTAAGTGCATTTTGCAGCTTATCTTGTGACAATAAACTACTAGATTAAGAGATAATTATTAAAGATATATTTATCAACAATAAAGCCCTGTGTACAGGGCTTCATTTCACTGGAGTCTTACCGACCTCTCTAATGGGTTGGGCCCACCGAGGCAATAAAAAATGGAAAAAAAAAGAAGGTAAAATTTCATATCTAAGAGAGTAAGTATAACCAATTTCAAAATTAAGATATAATGTTTAGAATTTCAAAAATCAGATATCAATTAAATTTTATTTATAAAATGATTAATTAAAAATATATGTTATTAATTATATATAATAAGATCACAATTTTATATAAATTGGTCACAAACTATCGAATTAAGTGGTCACAAAAGTTTTTTCGTCACAAATTACAAATTTATAGGTCACAAACTTATTTCTCGATCACAAATTTCTCAAATTAAAGTGTCATAAATTACCAAATTATTAGTGACAATTTAACACATTTTTTATTGATATGGGTCACATAATATGTATTTGGCACACATTAATCAATTTATTAGTTGTAATCAACCAAATGATTTGTGACCACTCCTCTGGCAGACCATCGCCACTAGAACCACCACCACCTAATGACAACCGACATCAACACCACCAACTCAAACAAACAAACAAAGTGCACCACCGTGACCATCACAACCACCATCGAAAACTATAACTTGCGCCACCATTTACACCATCGCTGCACCATTGCCAAACACTATCACTTGCACCACCATGGCCGCCAAAATAACTGGTTATAAACTCTCTTCTCATCATGTACCACCACCACCTAGCATCGCACACCACCACTACGCACACCACACACTACCACCCACAGCATCGCACCACTGCACCTACATCACAACACAGCAAAATCGTACAAAAAACCATCAGCCAACAAAATGCAGAAATAAATAGATCGCGATGGAGCAAGAGGGAAGACGCCCAGTAGCATCAATAGATTCGGCAATGGCGCTGTTGGCGGAGCTCTCCGACGATGGCTTCTTGAGACCACCCCCAGCACTGTACCAACATCACAACACAGCCAAATCGAAGATGGAGAGAGAGAGAGAGGAGGGTGATATGATTTTAGGTTTACGAAGGCTGCGCAAGAGAGGAGAACGGCTGTCGACGGTGGCGCAACAGAGAGGGAAAAAAGGGTAGAATAATTTTTAGGGTTTGGGAAATAATTGAATTTGGGTTATGGGATAGTGTGGATTTATTATTATTATTATTATTATTATTATTATTATTATTATTATTATTATTATTATTATTATTATTAAAAATTTAATTACATCTGATTTTTGAAAGAAAATCTTGTAGTTCTTAATTATGAAATGTGATCTTGAAAACACTTAGCTCTTGTAACCCCACCCCATGTGGACCCTGTAAGGGGTCTGTAAGGAGCTGAGTCTGTACCCCCAGCTCAGTTAATTTATCAATAGGCCTATCATGTTATGGTTGCACTTCTTCATTTATTTAAAATTGGGGTTTGATTATTATTATTATTATTATTATTATTATTATTATTATTATTATTATTATTATTATTATTATTATTATTATTATTATTATTATTATTATTATTATTATTATTATTATTATTATTATTATTATTATTATTATTATTATTATTATTATTATTATTATTATTATTAAAAATTTAATTACATCTGATTTTTGAAAGAAAATCTTGTAGTTCTTAATTATGAAATGTGATCTTGAAAACACTTAGCTCTTGTAACCCCACCCCATGTGGACCCTGTAAGGGGTCTGTAAGGAGCTGAGTCTGTACCCCCAGCTCAGTTAATTTATCAATAGGCCTATCATGTTATGGTTGCACTTCTTCATTTATTTAAAATTGGGGTATGTCGATTAGACTTCAAAAATAATGTGAGTTTTTTCCTTTTACATTCACAAAAAATTACGAAATATAATCATGAAAACTTTTGTCTAGTGATCTAAAAAAGAATTGTGTCAAATTAAAGATCATTTTTCAATTATGTGTAAATTCTGTCGAATTATCATATGAAGCACAATAATGTTTGGTCCAAACCGTTTTTTCTCATTGTATTATAAGACTTTTTTGTAGGCACGTTTTACACTTGTCTTTACCTCAACTTCGGTACGTAATTGGCGGAGACGTTTACTTTCCCATGGCCAAAACGTGGAGTAGCCATGCTTGATTGTTGTTCTATTTTGAAACTCATCGCAATTTTAAGAGTAATATTATTTATTATATAATGTGACATTGATTAATAAAATTTTCATCATTGTATTTTACTGAGTGCAAAGATTATTTAACCATTGCATTTTTAAATAAGCAAAACAAATAATACTGTAAAAATGCAATTTAACATTTTACCCCCATTTCTAAAACACGTTGACAATATTTTAGAACGAAAATCATAATTAAGGGCAAGATATTCTGACCAATAAAATGTTAAAAAGAAGAATGTGATGATGAACAATTTTAAGAATATAAGTATGATAATAAATAAATGTTAATGATATTAACATTTTGGAGGAAAGCATGCATTTTGAATAATAAATTGATGAAGAATATGTGGTTAAAAATTAAGAAAATATTTTGGATTTTGGTGTAATATTATTTTATTGAATAATGTGTGGTTAAAAATGAGTCTTGAGAAAATGAATTTTTAGTAGAATGTGGCTCAAACAAGGACTACTTATAATTAAAATGTGGTGTAAATATAAACAACCTACATTTTTCTTTTTTAATGATAGGAGAACCTGCAGCCGCTATCCTTCAGGTAAGTATTGGGTAAACCATCGGGTTGACGTAATAGCCTGCAAACCAGGCCAGCCAGGTAACCCTCACTAGACAAGCCTTGTGCGACATGCTCGATCAAGAAAGTGTTGGTAGGGGGAATCGAACTCGAGACCAAAGGCCTCCACGCTTGCCTACTCCAACAACTCGACCACCTCATGAGGGGCAATCAACCTACTTTTATCCCATCTTTAGTTGGAGTTCGAGTCTTCCTTTCAACTCTGCACTATGGTTTTTTCTAGTTATTAATAAAACATTTTGTTGTGTCATTTATCCATCAAATGTTGGAAAAGCTCACCGATCACTCTCATCGTTGTTTACTTCTTGTCATACTGTGAGCTTTGATGGTATGTCCTTGCCAACACAGGCTAATCGCCAGTGTGGGAAAAATATAAGAACTTGAGTCAAGAGTAAGTACATTTGCAAAAGGATTGGATAAAAATGGAAGATAAATAGTAATTTCTACAAAGAGCTTATTACTGGCAAATGTAGCTTTTCATTCCCTAAACTTTAATTTTGAAATGACTTACAAATTATACAGTTTGATCCACCAACGATTGCCGATCAATCGAATGATTCAATTCAAGAAAATAGTTCTCGATAATCTGTTTATCTTTGTTTAGTAACATTCTCAAGATATAATAAGTAACATTTAAGTACTATACTTCAATTAGAACAACACTGTCTCCTGTTCGAGTTGCCAGAATAATCTCCAATCTTAATGGCAGTGCCTTGACCAGGAATATTAGCAGCAGCAACCTCCTGAGCCACCAGGGCTTTTCTGCTTATAATCTGATAAATGTCCAACATAATTGAATGGAAAGCTTTCTCCATGTTACGCGCTTCAAGTGTTGACGTCTCGAGGAACAATAGTCCCTCTTTCACAGTGAAGAGTTGAGCTTCTTGCTCATTGATGGCTTCGAGGTGATCGAGGTCGAATTTGTTTCCTGTCATCATTAAGACTATGTGGAGTCGGCATGATCTCTCAATTCAGTAGCCAATGTTAGACATTCTCAAAGGTTTGTCTATATGTACTGCATCAAATAAAGAGAAATCAAAATAAAATGTCCAAAATATAACAATTGAGGTAATGATTAACCAAATAAAAGGAACGAAATTCTAAATTGAATTTACTAGAGGAACCTGAAGTTTTTGGACTTACAGTGCAAAATCTAAAAGTATATACTTATGCTAAAAGGAAATAAGAAAAATAAAGTCATAATATGTAATATACAACTCTTCGCATAATGATTTTTACTAAGATCGTGGTTTATAAAATCACTAGTTCATATCATATTATATTATCTTGATGATGCGTAAAATTTGAAATACAATACATTCAACTCATCTGACATTACTATTAATGTTATACCTGAAAGATTTAATATGCCGAAGCAGAATTCAAGTGATGTTATCATGAGATGGAGTAAATACGGGTTGTGCGTTTTTTTCTCTTGACCAAGGTTTTGTTCAATTGAATCTTTCTAACAAGATTTTTAACGAGAAAACTTTTGTATTGCACTTAAAAGAATAATGTATTCTTTTTTCCTCCATTAGAATTTTTTCCAAAGCTTTTTTTCCTGATAAAATTTTAACAAGGATTTTTTTTGTGTGTAATGAATATCCATAACCTACATGACATTTATCCTCGAAATAACACTCTAATATGTATAAGACTCCCGAAGAGATCAACAAGAATTATTTTTCGAATCATCATGTTACAACAATCATCAAAGATTGATTAATATCTCGTATAAGGATGATATTATTTGAAGACTATACAAGACAACATGAGATATACTTCATCAGAAATTACAATATTAAAAACATTGACGTATCAGACAAGGATGGCTTGGTACAAGAATTTTCATTTATTAAAATCAGGAACAGCTGTACTTTTTTCATTCAATTTAGTTTTGTCCCATTGAATTTTTTGACAAGGTTTTAATAAGACATATATTTTATAATAAGTCATTCAAGAGAGAGTGTTGTAAATAATATTTCATTAGTGAATGACAATCATACCATACAGTCCTAGTTTTTATTACAATTGTATCCTCAATTCTTCCGTATAAATATAGAGTTTTGATTCTCAATAAAACACATGAACGTATTTTCTTCTCTAGATTCTTCTCATTTTTCTCTCTAGTTTACCACAGAGTAGTGAATTTTTGGAGAATGTGTTGTTAAAAAGTAGGAACAATTTTAAATTTACATATAATATTATTTTAGTCAAAGAACACGTGGTTGAAAATAAGTTTAGAGAAAAATATATTATTGAAAAATGGGGCTTAGACAAGGGCCTATTCCCCCCCTCCCCCTCCTTTTTTTTAATCGGTAAAATGTAAACTAGGGCCTACTCTTAAGCTAGGCAAACCATGCCTATTCCACTTTATTTATTTTTTTCAATTAAAAATTTCACATTTTAGACGTTGCAGAGCAGTCATTATACCTTGATTTATGAATTATGAGTTGGGGAATAAGTAAATGCAATAACTAATTATTGGGCTCTGAAGGTGAATTAGATATATGAGCCATTGTAATGGTTTTGAATTGAAAAAGAAGTGGAATGTTAACATCAGTTGTGCTGGGTGTACAACACTTATTGTTGTACACCCATACACCCCTCTCACAATGAGAGGGTCCACAAATATAATATTCATGTGGACCCCCTCACATTGTGAGAGGGATGGTGTACAAAAAACTTTAACATTTTCACCATTACAAAACCTATAATAAATAGACTTAGTTGCTGAACTTACAATCTTTGCTTTTTTCTTCTCGTTCCCAAATCTCGTTTCATCCCTTATTCACAACAAAGCGTGTAATAAAATGAATTGGAATTGAAAAAGGTTTGGCAAGATAATTATTTTAGTATATGTATTTATACTTTAATTGTGGAATTGGAAACACATGAATCCATAAAAGGGATAATCAAGGCAGATAAAGGAGTGATCTGAGTACTGATGTCAGTAAGGAAAAATGTGAAAATTGGATTAATTATATGAATCTTGCTTACTAGAATTAGCCCGATATGGATTGATGTAGACGCAATATGTTAGATGAGAAGAAAAAATGAGAAGTAAGAGAATATGGAACCAAGGTGATGGCCTTGCCCTTGCCTGTGTAAGTTAACTAAAATAATAAATGAAAGCATATTTTGGTTCTTATTTTGCTACTATTAATAAGGAAATGGATTAATTGGCTTCTAATTCAAGAATAATATCTTGTTTATTTCAGGAGATAACGGAGAAGTAGGAAAAGCTTATAAGCCAAATTAGTTTTTATGTACATAGACGTTAGTGAAAATTTAAATATTTTCAAGAAAAAGAGAAATCGATGATATCGAGAAATTTTTACGAATCATTTGTCAAGTTACCTGATTATTATGAAATGCTTATTAAATTATTATGTTGCGAAAACAAAGAATTTAGATTAGTTAATTGTGAAATGGAAAGTGTAACCTAAATTATAGGATATTCAAATGTAATAGAATAGAATTGTGACTATATTTGTTTTAGTACACTTAGGGTCTTGATTGTGTACTATAGTGCACTGGTATTGATCACGTACAAGTATGTATTATCATAGGTCTTTGAAACCCATTTTCGTGCACTGTGGGTTCCTTAGGCTTGTGTGAAGGGTCTATGCACGTATGATTACATACTTTAGTGTGATGGTACATTTTTATGAGATTTCTCAATATATTGTGATGTGATAACAGAATAGATTTCAGTTGATTATATTGTGATTATAAGAAGATATTACTTACTCGAAATTAATATAAAATAGTTGTTTATATCATATTTTCGAGTACTCTTAAACCATGTTATAGAAATGCCTCACAATCTTTACTATTATTATTTTTGGATGTTATACTATGAAATGTTAAATAACGTAAATTTGATTTTTGATAAATGTGTATAAAAGAAAAATAATAATATCCAATAGAGCTAGTTGGTATAACTCATTTCATAGACCATGCACATCATATTTCTTTTTTAATATCCTTTTGTATCACATGCCAATAGTTGGGCAGGCTCATGTACTTTATACCATATGCATCGTTTATGTTTTTTCAGTAATAAAAGTTTTAAAGTTCTCTATTGTGTTGTTTCGTATTGATTACTGGAAGGGCAAATGGTCCCAATCGGTTGTAAATATTGTCGTTTTTATATGTTGTATTTTATTTCAAGTTGATTAGTCTAAATTACATGAAAGATAATAACGAAACTTTTAAAAATTATTAAGTCATAATAGGTTTCATATATTAGTAGCCTTGATGTTGGGCCCGATATCTAGTTAGTCTCTATCATTGGTTAGCATTAGTTCAAATTTGGTTGTCACTGGTTTTAAAATTTTGCACACAAGAAAAATCTAACCAGAAAACAATATGGTTGATTGGCAAGTAACCGGATAAGTGCACAAAACACACTTATCACACACACTTAAAAAGTACAAAGTTCTCTTGAAATTTTTGACAACATACGCAACAATGGGACTCCTCACTTTAAACATTCCATCGTTCCACACAAAAATACCAGATAGCCTGCTTGAAGTCAATGTTGCATTAACAGTCACAACAAATGTTTGCTTTTGACCAATAGATGTGAACGAAAGAACAGATGGCAACACATTAATATTGAGTCCGGTTGGCGCTGCTATGACTGCGGTGTAAGTGGATATTGGCGAACTGACCTTTGTGACTATTCGATGGAAGACATGGGTGACAAAACCACCGGACTTTGTAGATAACGCGAAGGAAGGATAAATTCAATGCTTATACACGATGCTACTTAACAATATAATATTAATCAGGAAAACAGTTTCAGAGAGCCCTCTAGTTCTGTTAGGCGTCGCTTATATGTGGATGGCCTCATCAAGCTCAACCTTAATGTCCGACTTGTTATAAGCTAGAATAGACGTAGTTCTTGAAATCATAGTTATTAAACCGACCCGGCCATTGAACCGGTCAAGGCACCGGGCCTCGGGTTACTGGTTGAATTGGTGGGCTAGTGGTTAGATCGATGGGTCAATGCTTAATAATTATAAACTATTGTTTAAAGAATAAAATTTTTCTTTTGGATAAAATAAAAAAATTTAAATTATCTATCATTAATTATTTATATATTTATGCCATTGTTTGATTCCCATTTTTTCAAGAATGCATTTTTTCAAAATTTATTTTCAACCACACATTCTTTTATAAAATAATTATACACGTATTTTAAAAAAATTTCTTTACTTTCTAATTACAGATTCTCCAAAAAATCACTAATCCAATAATGTATTTTATCCCAAAAATGGATATCAAACAGAGGCATAAATATATTATTTTGTTAAATATTCAACTCATTTTAATTAAAATAATTATTATAATTTTTAAAAAATATGTTTAACAAACTATAAATGATTTAAATATACATATTTATTGCAAACATAAAACAATAAACAATTGATCTCTAGTGGTTACATGAAACTCATTTTACTTAGATGTCTAAGGTTCAAATCTTTTAAAAGCAAAAAATTTATGGACAAACTTTTAAATCTTGATCAAACCAGTCAACCGATCGAGTTAATATGAAAATCGCCCTATTAACTCAATTAACTAGGTGGGTCAACTTGGTTTTGACCGAGTCAATTGCAATTCCATGAAAATATTCTACCGGCCTGATCAAGAGTCCGGGTCACCGATTCTCCGGCCCGACCTACCGGTCACTATGCTTGAAATTTTATCTACATTATCATATTGGCCAATAGACAGGAGAATTATACGAGACCGGACACTCATATACGTTGGATTTGAATTTGATGAAAACTATCCAGAATTTCAGATCATGACTTCAAGAAAATATAATATGATTTTAGTACGATTTATCCATCAAACAAATAATATATGACTAAATTGCTAGATAGATGAAGGGATCTCAACGAGTCGAGCCGACTAGGGTAAA